TATTCCAATCACCAGCAATTATCATTACATCTTGATTACATGTTTGGTTAGTATTAGGTGACTTTTATTAGGTGAGTTGTATTTTGACAGAAGGGCATTTTGGTAGCAGAATGATATGTGGCATGGTATGTTGTTGTTATGTGCCATGAAGTCGGTTCCAACTCATAGCAACCCTGTATAGGGTTTCTGAGGCTGTAAATCTTTACGGGAGTAGAAAGCCTCATCTTTCTCCCGTTGAACAGCTGGTAGTTTCGAACTGCTGACCTTGAGGTTCACAGCCTGATTCGTAACCACTACGCTACCAGAGCTCCGTGGTATAGAAATGTACAATACAGGGAGTAGTCCGTTCTCTTTGTCAAAGAAGTGGTTCTTGGCTGATGCATGGGAGCAAATCTGAATTGCTTGATGGGAACTTTTTACAGTCTTTGTCCTTTTGTGCCTCCTCTCACTCATTCTGGCATGTCTTCCTAAGGAATGAATATGATTCGGAACTAGTAGGCAGATGCCTGAGAAGGAGGAAAGTGAAAAGAGGCAGGAAGGCTGGTCCGGCAAGAACACTGGGATACTGGAGTGCCAGTCCAGGAAAATGCATGGGAGTAAGTCTCTGAGCAAAAACTGAGCACCTACCGCTCTCGAGGAATCCAGAGCCATCATTAGGGCTTCAGATTTCTTTGGCTAAGAGATTTGGAGTAAAGGTTTTGCCTATTTGTGTTTGAAGCTTCAGCCTCTGATGGTTCTGGTCTCAAGTCTCTCAGCTTTGCTCATTGAGGGATCACTCTGTAATTCAATGAGCCTATTGCCCTACCTGCATCTCTAGATGCACTGAATAGTTAAAGGATGGTATTTTTACATTCTGGTGTGGTGCTGTAGGGTAAAGCACTAGACCATAAGTCAGTTTGAACTGCAAGGTTGCGATTCAAACTTAATTGCTGCTCCTTGGAAACTCTATACAGGGTCACTGTAAGTCAGAACCAACTCAACGGTACTTAACAACATTTGTTGTTAGTTATTAAGTGCTGTTATGTCAGTTCTGATTCATAGCAACATTGTATAGGATTTCTGAGGAGCTTCTGGTAGTTTTGAACCGCCAACCTTGCAGTTAGTAGTTCAGTACTTATCCTACAGTGCTGCATGAGGATGTGTTATTATTGATGTTGTTAAGTGAGTTCTGAGTCATAGCAACCTTGTAAAGGGTTTCTGAGGAGTGACTGGTGAGTTTGAACCACCTACTCAAGGGGTTCTGGTAGTGTAGTGGTTACGAATCAGGCTGTGAAAAGCAAGGTCAGCAATTCAAAACTACCAGCTGTTCCGTGGGAGAAAGATGAGGCTTTCTGCTCCCGTAAAGATTTACAGCCTTGGAAACCCTGTACAGGGTCGCTATGAGTCGGAACCAACTCCTTAGCACATAATAACAACAACACTCAAGTTTCAAAACTGATCTTGCATCCCAGTGCCTGTCTCAAAAAAAAAAAAAAACTCCAAAGAGAGAGAAATGTAAGATTTCCAGTGTATTTACAGAAAACATAGCGCTACACAAGTATCTTTATTCACTGTCTAACTTTCACAGGCATACGAGGTTATTGAAAATACCATGGCTTGGGTCAGGGGCACCTTAGTCCTCAAGGTGACATCTTTGCTCTTGAACACTTTAAAGAGGTGTTGTGCAGCAGAATTGCCCAGTGTAATACGTTATTTGATTTCTTAACTGCTGCTTCCATGAGTGTTGATGGTTGATCTAAGCAAAATGAAGTCTTTGACAACTTCAATCTTTTCTTCGTTTATCTTGATGTTATTTATTGGTCCAGTGGTGAAGACTTTTGTTTTCTTAATATTGAGGTGCAACCCATACTGAAGACTGTGGTCTTTGATCTTCATCTGTGAGTAATTTAAGTCCTCTTTGCTTTGAGCAAGCAAGGTTTGTATCATCTGCATATTGTGGGATGTTAATGACTCTTCCTCCAACTCGGATGTTATGGTCTTCTTCATATAATCCAGCTTCTTGGATTATTTGCTCAGCATACAGATTGAATAAGTATGGTGAAAGAATACAACTCTGGTACATACCTTTCCTAATTTAAACTATTTGGTGTTCCTTTGTTCTGTTCTAACAGTTGTCTCTTGGTCCATGTACAGGTTCCTCATGAGCACAATTAAGTGTTCCAGAATACTCATTCTCTGCAATGCTGTTCATAGCTTGTCATGATCCACATAATCAAAAGCCTTTGTGTCGTAAATAAAGCACAGGTAAATATCTTTCTGGTATTCTCTGCTTTCAGCCAACATCCATCTGACATTAGCAGTGATAGCCCTCATTCCATGTCCTCTTCTGAATTTGGATTGAACCTCCGGAAGTTCTCTATCAATGTATGGTTTCAGCCATGTGTGAATTATCTTTAGCAAAATTTGCTTGCGTGGGATATTAATGATATTGCCCGATGACTTCTGCTGGGTCACTTCTCTTTGGAATGGGCACAAATATGACTGTCTTCCAGTTTGGGGCTATAAATAAAACTATGGTGGATATGTCTGTGTATACCTCTTCTCTTACATCTGGATTATATAAAATAATCTTTATATAGGGATTTCAGTTTTTGAACACCTTCAGGATATAAAATATAATGGGTATTTATTTGTTTGGAAAGTGTCTATTTGCTTTAAAATACTTAGGGAATAAAATTTGGGACGGGGGTGATAGTTGAAGCATGAATTATGTAATGTTGATGGCTATTATAGTTGATGGTGAGTAGGTGAGGGTCTATTACACTATTGTCTCTACTTTGCTATTTATTTCTGACTTCCCTTCTCTTCTTCCTGCTTCTGGTTTCTTTGTTGATTTTTCCTGTGTCTCCTTTAGATACATGGTACCCACAGAAAACATGCTGTTCTCTGAATTCCCAAACATTTCTTTTAGTTTCAGTTACTCCAGAAAGTTGTGACTTCATAGATTTCTTTTCATCCATCTCTCCACCCAGCCAGTAGTTCATTCACATTAAAAAAATAATAATTATATGACTTTTGTACTGTGTTGGCTTGCATGTTGCTACGATGTTAGAGGCAATGTCACTGGAATTTCAAATACCAGCAGGGTCACCCATTGTAGACAAGTTTCAGTAGGGCTTCCAGACAAAGACAGAATAGGAAGAAAGGTCTAATGATCTGCTTCTAAAAAATTAGCCACTGTAAACCTTATGGACCACAACAGAATATTATGTGATATAGACACATTATCAGGAAAGACTAGAAAAGGACATCATGGTTGGTTAACTAGAGGGTCAATGAAAATGAAGGCAATAATAAGATGAACCCCAACAATGGGCTCAAAGATACCAAAGATCATGAAAATGGTTCAGAGCAGAGCAACATTTTATTTAGTTACTCATAAGGTCACCAAGAGTTGGAGGTGACTCAATGGCAACTAACAACAAACAACAATCAGTATTAACTTATTTTGTACCATGGGAGGACTGACAGCTAACACTCTTAGGGATAATCGTACTTTAGATAAGTACTCTCTGTCTGGGGATGGAGTGGAGTGGGCAGAACTGGGGCCAGAAGGATTGACGGTCTTCTTAAAAATACTTCCTCCTTACCGCCTTCCAACCCAAAGATTTAGGAGTCCTGGTATGATGCTGTGGGATAATGCAAATTCAAACAGACCTCAAAGTCTGTTTGAACCACAAGTTGGCTGTACAAAGTCACCAGCAGCTCCTTAGAAACCCTATAAGGTGTCACCATGAATTTGAACCTACTCAGTGGCACTTAACAACAAGAATAACATCCCAAAGGTTTAAAGTCTTTGGGAATTTGGAATTAGAAGCTACATATTAGGTTATATTTATTTAGTTAATTGAAAATTGCACAAATTCAGATCCTGAAAATTTTGTTCCTTTTAGCATAAACTATTAGTCTCAAGTATACATGGAAATTAGTATTTTACATTCTTGTTGAGAAAGGCAGAAAGCTAATAAAGAGGCTTAGTTTCCTATTCATCTCCTAACACATTTGTATATTATAAATGCTGTGTGGGCCAAATGGAACTGTGGGGTGATAATTCTGAGGTCTTTGTGATTTTACTTGTCCCAAGGTGGCTCCTTGCTCCCTGAAATTGGAACCCCCAGAGGCGTGACTGTGCAGCACTGTGGCCACCCACGTCTTGGAGAGTTGAGACTGTGTTGGAGCTCCCTCCCACAACACCTTCCACATGGTTCAACCTGTGCACTCATCACATTGGATTGTAAATGCATTTTTACTTGCCTTCCTTTCTTACCAGACTGTGAGTTTCTGGGAGGACAGAGATTCATTTTCAATGCCTGGAATGAAGTTGAACCTTAGTAAATGCCAATATAATGAAAAACATGCACGCAAAAAAGTATTTTCTTTTAAAAAGCTCTGTATTTTCTTCTCATGGATGCTCTACTTTGCACAGACCTCAAGATAGTCCCATTCTTCAGCTTGACTCTGAGGACCTTCTGATGTGAAAGAGAAAGTTCGAAGGAAACTGCCTGTGGATGGCTCAAAAACCCCAAAGAGATGGGTCCCCAAAGAAGTGTCTACTGCAGGATGGAGATGCCTAGATTCAGGTCTCCCAGAATATGCCTTTGTCATCAACAGAAACAGGATTGTTTCCTTTAAACAAGGACAGTTCAGTGCTTAGTTTTTTGTTGTTGTTTTTTTCAACGTAACTGCTTAAGGATTTTCAAAGCAGAAGCTTATAAATAAAAGTCTACAATAATTAACACAGTTCTGAATCTACTGTTAGTACAGTATGTTTTATTTGATGAGAGGGCTTTATTACTAAGCAAGTAAGGTAACAAGGTGGCACACAGCTAAGTATTTGGACAGACTTTTCTTGAATTCCCCTCCAGTGGCTTCTATTGTCTGCCTTGCCTTCTGGTATTTGAAATGGTTCATCATGGTCGGTTCCTTGGCTTTCATGGGAGTGGGGGAAGTAAAGCAAAGGAAATAATGTGGCGTGGACCCAGCTTTCCTTTAGAGCCTTGTTACAGGAAGTCGGGGCAGTTCACTTGATCTGTGATGGTCATTTTATCGATTGCAATGTTGTTAGAAGTCAGGATATCTTTAAGATAGGTCACTGTTTCTGGAGGGAGATAAGGGTTTCTTCCTAAGATCCAGACATGATCCATGTGAAAAAGCCAGATGAACGTGGTACAGGCATATACGAGGCTATAGTTTTCATAGTCAGTGGCCAGGACCCAGTATGGTGCTGATGGCATCACTAAGAACCAGAGGAGAACAGCATTAGAAAGGACCAGCACAAGAGAAACCTTCATGTCCAGAACCCTGGAAGCCAGGCTCTGAAGTCCTATTTTTCTTACATCAGTGGTTCTGATTTCATGTTTGAGTCACCAAGGCACTTAAAAACTACTAAGCTCATATCCCTAGATTCTGAGTGTGTGTGGTTGGCTTTTTTTTTTTTTTTTAATTCCTAGTGATTCTAATGTGTAGCCAGAGTTAAGAACTTTTGTTTGGATCCTTCCTCCCTGATAACAGGTTGATGTCTGGAAACCCAGTATAACTGGGGGTGGAGTGCAGAGGGTGGCATTCAACTAGATCTCTGAGACAGAAAGGCTGGTCCTGGTATGTGGAGTGGCTTCGAGAATGTAAGATCAGGGGCCCCAGGCTCTCTAGTCTGCACTGCTGAACTTCCTCCAGAACCTATCTAAAAGAGAAGGTAGAGCAAATGTTTTGCTTTCTTTTCCTGAATGACTTTTGACAATCTGTCCACACATAAGAATATGGTAAATTAATTGGTGACAGATTATATGCTCTTCTTCTTGTCTTTATTCATTGAATGACATCTATAAAGTGTGGAACGCTCAAGAGTAAAGGGGCCCGTAAGTGGAAAGATGGAGGATTTACCCTCTTCATCTGAATCCAGAAATTTCCTTGGACCCAAGGTCCAAGTCAAAAATTCAGAGCTCAGCTTGTTAAACAGTTAACTGGAAGACATACTCAAATGAGACAAGACAGTGCACTGATCCCGTATGAACAAAAGGTTTAGACATGTATTCAATGTATTCTGGGGTAATTTACTTTCCTGAGTTTTAAGCATTCTGAAAAATAATCTCTGTGTTTTCCAAGTCAAAATCAGATCTCAGTATTCAAGAAAGACCCTATGAAACTTTTGGAAAAATGAGATTTTGTGAGTGATTAGAGATTTTCTGATAGTCAAGTATCCAGCCGATCAATTACTAGGAGGCTCCTACCTCTGATTTTCTACTTGGAGGAAGTCTAGACAGAATCTTGGGTAAGAGTGCAAGGCTTAGATTGTGTGTTTCTTCTAGTTTACTTTATCTAGAACTGTTGCCTGCCTCACTCATGAGAGCATATGCTCATCATATATCCCCTATCATTGAATTTTGGCTGCTTTGCATTTTCCCACCTGGACTGAGAGCTCTTCAGCCATGAGAGAGTTGGGGAAAATATGTCTTTACTTCTTCTGGCAGCAGCATGATGCCTGGCTCTGCACACACATAGGCATGCACATCCAATCTTGTCTTCCTCTCACAGGGTCTATCTCTCAAGAAAAAAATTACCACGTATTTCCTCTTGAAATAGAACATTTACAAGTCTTTTTTCATTAAACCTTTAACAACCTCCTATTGTTTACAGAAAAACTTCAAACTCCCTAACTTGACATTTGAGGCCCTCCAATCTTACCTGAATTAAGAATATTCAGAGAGTGCTGAACAGAAAATTTCAAAAAGCAGCTTGAGAAGTCAAAGTCAAATATTATAACAAAATGTGCAAAGACTTAGAGTTAGAAAACTCAAAGGGAAGAATACATACCACATTCCTCAAGCTGTGGGAACTAAAGAAAAAATTCAAGCCTCGACTTGCAATATTGAAGGATTCTATGGGCAAAATATTGAATGATACAGAAAGCATCAAAAGAATATAGAAGGAATACATGGCGTTACTTTACCAGAAAAAGATGATCAATGTTCAGCCATTTGAAGAGGTAGTATATGATCAAGGACTTATGATATTGAAGGAAGACGTCCAAGGTGCACTGAAGGCATTTGACAAAATATAAGGGTCCAGGAACTGATGGAATACAAACTGAGATCTTTAAACAGACTGATACAGCACTGGAGGCACTCACTTATCTATGCCAGGAAATTTGGAAGACAACTACCTGGCCAACTGATTAGAAAAGATCCATATTGGTGCCCATTCCAAAGAGAGGTGACTCAGTGGAATGTGGAAAGCACTGGACAAAATCATTAATATTCCATACAAGCAAAATTTTGCTAAAGATTTTTAAAATGATTACAATCATATATCAACAGAGAACTTTCAAAAGTTCAAGCTGGATTCTGAAGAGGACATTGAAAAAGAGGGAATATCATTGCTGACATCAGATGGATCTTAGCTGAAAGGAGAGAATTCCAGAAAGATGTTTACCTGTGCTTTATTGACTATGCAAAGGCTTTCAATGTGGATCATGACAAGCTATGGACAACATTGCAAAGTATGAGTATTCCTGAACACTTAATTGTGTTCATAAGGAATCTGTACATGGACCAAGAGACAGTTGTTTGAACAGAACAAGGGAACACTTGATGGTTTTAAATTAGGAAAGGTGTGCACTAGAGTTGTATTCTTTCGCCATACTTATTCAATCTGCATGATGAGAAAATAATGTGAGAAGCTGGATTATATGAAGAAAAACATGGCATCAGGATTGGGCAAGATTCATTAACAAGCTGCGATATGCAGGTGATAAAGCCTTACTTGCTGAAAGGGACGAGGACTTAAAATACTTACTGATGAAGATCAAAGACCACAGTATGGGTTGCACCTCAATGAAAATAAAACAAAAATCCTCATCACTGGACTAATAAATAATATTAAGATAAATGGAGAAAAGACTGAAGTTGTCAAAGACTTCATTTTGCTTGGATCAACCATCAACACTCAAGGAAGCAGCAGTCAAGATATCAAACAATATATTGCATTATGCAAATCTGCTGCACAAGACATCTTTAAAGTGTTGAAACACAAAGACGTCAGTTTGAAGACTAAGGTGTGTCTGACCCAAGCCATGGTATTTTCAATAACCTCATATGCATGCAGAAGTTGGACAGTGAATAAGGAAGACCGTAGAAGAATTGATGCATTTGAGTTATGGTGTCGGAGAATATTGAAAGTACCATAGATTTTCAAAAGAACAAACCAATCTGTGTTGGAAGAAGTATAGCTGGAATGCTCCCTGGAAGCCAGGATATCCAGACTTCGTGTTTTATACTTTGGACATATTGTCAGGAGGGACCAGTCAGTCCCTGGAGAAGGATATCATGTTAGGTAAGGTGGAGGGTCAGAGAAATAGAGGAAGACCCCCAGCGAGGCGGACTGGCTGCTCCTAGAAGTGATGGGTCGAAATGTAGCAACGATTGTGAAATTGATGCAGGACCAGGCATCATAGGGTCACTATGAGTTAGTACCAACTCGATGGCACCTAACAACAACAGCCTTATCTTCAACTCCTTGTACCCTCTCATGATTTAGGCTTCTTTCTCCAGACTTTTTCTCATGCTGTGCCCTCCACTTGGTGTCCTGGTGTGGCACTGTAGGCTAAGCACTGGACTGCTAATCTAAAGGTTGGCATTTCAAATTCACCAGAAACCCTATATGGGGTCCTTGGAAACCCTATACAGGGTCACTATGAGTCAGAACCGACTTGACGGCACTTAACAACAACAACATACCTCACAAAGCCCAGTGCAAGTATGTAATCCCTCCAACCAGAATACAGTTCTCTCTCCTCTGTTTCCCGAACTAACAGCTTGTGTTTTTCTTTCAGCTCCTTTATCAGGTTTCCTTTGGTAGGTTTTGCACATAATATTTGACCTTCATTTCCATCCTCAACTCAGATCAGTGTTACGGATCAAAATAATTGAGAGCTTGGAGACCTATGTTCTAGTCCCAATTCTGCATGTCATTAGTTCAGAGGCCCTGAATACATCACCCAGATTTCCTGGGCTTCCATTTCCTCCTCTGTAGAGTAACAAGCAAGACTAATGTTTACAAAGCCCTTTGCAGTTACAGGTGCAAGCTAGTTTATCTTCATAAAACTGGAGAGTTATTCCTGGCTTCTACATGTGAAGTTAGTTGTTTATACTCAGACATGTGAGAAAAATACCTTTCCTTTTCCTCCATAAAGTAAGAACTTCCTCTCTTTCCCATCTGTAGGAACTTGATCTTTGGTGATGGTAGGAGTGATTCCGGTTGCAGCTGGGGGCAAGGGGTTTCTGAGCACAGGAGAAAGCCTCACATATCTGAGCTGAGCTTTCTAGTTTACATCAACAATAAAACTCATATCTGGAGTTTTCTCTGTTGCCCATGTCCATTCCTCAGCTCAGAGGACAAATGGCTGTGGTTAAATATCTCTTTGGAATCCCAGCAATGTGACTAGAAAGTGGTAGAGCCTGAACTCAAACTTGCTTCACTCTAACTGTCTCTTGTCTTCGAGCTTTGGCACATGGTAGTTTTGCTGCTGCTGCTGCTCCTGATGGTTGTGTGCCATGGAGTCGGTTCCGACTCATACAGACCCTGCATAGGGTTACCAAGGCTATACATTTTTACATGAGCAAAAAGCCTCATCTTTCTCCTGCAGAACAGCTGGTAGTTTCAAACTGCTGACCTGGAGGTTAGCAGCCCAATTCGTAACCACTATGCTATACTAATTTGAGGGGTAGGGAGCATCAGTTCCCTCGGGAAACTTGTCTTTCTTTCCCCATCAAGACTGACTGGGATCTCTAACAGCTCATTCCCTGTGTGCTCCCATCTGCATGCTCCCTATGGAAACACTGACTGTTGTTTTAATATATAAATTGGAAACGCCTGGGTCCTTATTAGTATCTACATTTGGATGTTTAAGCTTCATAAGGACAGGGTCGTTGCAGCTTTAGTGTCGTTTATATCGACACTGTCAGTCATGCATCTTCATGCCGTAGGTGCTTCACAAATGACTATGGCTAGAGTGGGTGACACCCACATGTGACAGGAGTGCTGCAGCCCAGGCACTGGCCTTCAGGATCCTGCCCTGGAAATCTCCGGAAAGAAGTGGATACTCACACCAGAAATACTTGACTCCCAACTTGGCGGGCTCTGTGAGGTTGGCCTGAGTGGCCTCACCTTCCATCTGATTCAGTGTTCCATCAGGTCTGCAATGAGTTCAAAAACAAAAAGAAGAATAACAAAACTTGAACTTACTGAAAGCCCAAAAACAATGAAAGGCAAGGTCTGTGATGTTAAGGGCCATGGCCGCCAGCACTGTGATTTTGGTGAAGAGAGGCTCTTGAAGGAGGTCCTACTCCCTGTCCTTACCTTTGTGAAGGTCTCTGAGCTCAATGCAGAGGAAGACAGTCTTGAGATGATAGTAAGCAACAATTAGTGTGCTTGTTGTTGTTGTTAAGTGCCGTCGGGTTGGTTCCAACCCATAGCAACCCTGTATAGGGTTTCCAAGTCTGTATCTTTACAGGAGTAGAAATCCTCATCTTGAGTAGAAAGCCTCATCTTTCTCTCACGGAGCGGCAGCTGGTAGCATGCTTAAGGACTAAATAATGTGCTAGGTACTTCTTATACTGTTTTTTGACCTGTGTGCAATGCTTTCAATTTCTAAAGAAAGAGAGACTGAGGCAAGGGCATGAAGTGACTGGCTTACAAGTTTTCAAGAGGGAGCCTAGTTTCAGATGGGGCGGGAGAAGTTAGAATCTCCACTGAGTGGTTTCCAATCTGTCTAGACAGGGTTGGTGAAAGGAGACAGAGATAAGACTCTTGTGGTTCAATAGTGAATAATTACTATCAGGATTGATTGTGAATATTGCAAATGTAAATATAGACATTTTGTAACAAAAGGAGGGGAGTGGCTGATCTTTCAGTCTAGGAATGGAGGACCCTGAGCCCATCAAGGAAGAAGAGAGGAGTGCGGGACCCTATCCAGAGAAGCAGTGATGCCAGAGATGGAGGCAGAGATGATGATGTGGAGAGATAGAGCAGCTGGGGACTCTGGACTCAAGGAAGGAGAGGGGCTGTGAGCTGGTGGCCGGGGGGCAGGCTTGCAGGGCATACCCTTTGGTTGTGTGAATGGTTATATATCCCTGAGTGCTTCAGTGTTTATCCAACAAAAAAACAACAACACACAAAACAAAACAACAACAGAGGGAATGGAAGCAAATGCTGTTGAATGATGACACATGGAGGGGATTGAAATCATTGCAATGAAACAAAATACAGTAGAATGAATGTAAAGCTGATGCTCTTCCAGATAAATTGTCATTCAATTCATAATAAAAACTTGAAAAAAAAGAGAGAGAGAGAGCGAGTGAGAGAGGAGGAAACAAATATAAAAGCAAAAAACAAATAAGTTTTTCTTTTTCTTTTTTTTTAAATGAGAAGGTGCCAAATGGAAAAAGAACCAATTTAAGTACTGAAAAGAATGAAACAAAGAGAACTGAGGAGAACTGAGATCTGCCAGCTTTTCCTCTTCTTTGGGTCCTAGTGACAACATGTGATATGATCTATCACATGAAGGAGTTTATATACTTTACCTCTGAGCCCTCTTCCACTTCACAGGCCTATGATTGAGTGTGGAAAATTTTGAGGTGGGCCAGGCAAAAGTAGGTGGTGAGGACAGGTTTACTTTTTTTCAATGATTCTCAAATGTATTCTAATAGCAGACATGTTATATGTGAAGAAACATGTAGCTTGCAATTGATGCTATAAGTAAAATACTGGTATGTTTGAAATTGATGGTGTCTTTGTTGTTGTTAAGTGCAGGTCTGACTCATGGTGACCCTGTATAGGGTTTTTGGGGAGCGGCTGGTGAGTTTGAACCACTGAACTTGCATTTCAAACTGACCTTGTAGTCTAGTACTTATCCTACAGAAGCACTCCAGTGGTGTCTCAGAGTAAATGAAATGTCTTTCTCTTTATTGAAGGGACTTGACCCTGTTTCTGGATAATTCCTAATGACCCATGAACCTGGGGGACAAGAGGTCTGGGGATGGAGGCAGTGCTCAGACATCAGGATGCTCTTCCCATGAGCTGTCTGTCCATCAGTCCCAGAGGAGGGGAGCAGGAAAACAAAAGGTAGAGCAACAGCATGTGTTAGAAAGTCAGGAAACGATGGTTAGTGATGATAGGTGTCCTAGAAACAGACAAGGTGAGGGAGGTTGGGAAATGTACTCACTGTGTCCCCCCACCAGGAACTCAGGTACCTCAGAAGGTGGTCTATATGTAACTCACCAACAAAATATAGTCTGTTCCTAATGTACTCTGTTTTCACTATCCTTTATGTTTTACTTCTGAATAGTTTTCAAAACACCAGCTTCTGATCAGAAAAAACATCACAACTTATTCATGGGGAAAATGCATTTGCATTTTCAAGTGTAGCAGTAAACTAACAATAATCACTTATATTTGTTAAATTGTTATTACCTGCCAAATACTATTCCAAGTGCTTTACATTTATTACCTAATTTAATGCTCAAACAGTATTATAGAAGTAGGTTCTATTATTGTTGTCACTGTACAGATGACCAAACTGAGGTCTAGAGATTTATATTAACTAAACTAAGGTCCCATAGGTAGCAGTGGCAGAACCAGGGTTTGAAGTCAGGCACCTGTTAAGTCCTAACTCTTCAGCTTGCAATCCTGTGCCAGCATTTTGGTCCCTAGTCTCTGAAGTAGTTAAGTGTATTCCCCGTTCAGATCTGTTTATTCTGATCTTCATGGAAAGAGAAAACGACACCATTTTCCTGAGCTAACAGAACCTTTCCTATATGCTCTTGTGTCATAAACAGTTGAAACCCTAGAGGCAGCAACTGGATTTCTCAGATGAATTATCAGCAACTATAGTTATAAGACAACTCCCAGCAAACTCCAAAGGGGAGGAATCTCACGGGCTTCAGGGTCCATACCACTGTCTGACTTAAGGTCTTAGAATGGGAGAAAATATTTTAACTGAAGTCATTGCAACTTTGAAGGCCTAGATAATCACTTTGCAACCTTTTGTTGTGTCTGCATCTCAATTCTTGGAGCCCTTCCCAGTCTCTGAAATGAGTTGGAGTTTTCCTTCTTTGGTTTATCTAGGCCAGAGAGTCAACAATCACTGTGTTGTGACTCACAAGAAGGATAGTAAATAATGGGATGGTCTTTCTGAGCTCATGAAACTTCCAGACTGGGCTGTAGTAGTTTCCTTAGAGTTGAAAAAGTTTTCAGATCCTATAGGATACAGGAAAGACACTCTTTGATTCTCAGCTCAAGAGAAGTCTTTTCTTTGAAATGTCTTCTCTATTTTATTTCTACTTGGGTGGAAATCCAAGTGTCAATACATGACACTTGAACAAGGTACTTCAACCTCTTTGCACCTCATTTATAAAAATGTGGTTAATAATAGTATCTACCTTGGAATTTTAATGGGAATATATATACATACACACACACACACATATATATATATATATTCCTGGTATGGTGCTGTAGGATCAGCTCTGGTCTGTAAACCACGGTCAGTGGTTCAGACCCACCAGTGGCACCTCAGAAATCCTGTACAGGGGTGCTATGAGTCACTATGAATTGTTATTAAGTGCTATTGAGTGAGTTCTGACTTGTAGCAACCTATATAAGGTTTCCAAGGAGCAGCTGGTGGGCTTGAACCACCAACCTTTAGTTAGTAGTCCAGTATGTATCCTACAGCAAATCCTACATATTTGGATTCACTGTAGGATAAGTACTGGACCAAAGGTCAGTTTGAACTGCAAGGTCGGCAGTTTAAGCTCACCAATCACTCCTTGGAAACCCTATATAAGGTTGCTATGAATTGGAACTGACTCACCAGCATTTAACAACAACAGTGTGGTGCTATGGGATAAGTGTTGGACCACAAGGTCAGTTTGAACCACAGGTTTAGTGGTTCAAACTCACCAGCCACTCCTCAGAAACCTTACATAAGGTCGCTATGAGTTGCAATTGACTCAATAGTACTTCACAACAACAACAAGTATATACATACATATATTGCTGTTGATGCTTGAACAATACAGGTTTGACCTGCATATGCCTACTAATATGTGTATTTCAATAAATACATTGGAAAGTTTTGGGGAGATTTGTGACAAATTGAGTAAAGTAGCAAAAGAACCACATAGCCTAGAAGTTACTGAAAAATTTAAGAAAAAGTTACATATGTCATGAATACATAAAATATATGTAGATACTAGTCTATTTTTATCATTTACTACCATAAAATGTGTACAGATATATAGTAAAAAGTAAAACTTTATCAAAACCTATGTACACAAAGAGACTGTACGTGGTGCCATTTGCAGTCAAGACAAATGTAAAGATGCAGTATTAATTTATAAATGCATAAATTAACTGTAATATATGCTGTACTAGCTCTGGTAGCATAGTGGTTACGAATCGGGCTGCGAACTTTAAGGTCAGCGGTTCAAAACTACCAGCTGCTCCGCGGGAGAAAGATGAGGCTTTCTACTCCCGTAAAGATTTACATCCTCGGAAACCCTGTACAGGGTCTCTATGGGTCGGAACCGACTCAATGGCACTTAACAACAACAAGTAATAACATCATCGTCAGCTCCTGTTGCTATTTTGGTGAGCTCGTGTGTTATAAATATTCACTTAAAACACTGTGTGACACTAATAATCTCTGTGTGAACAGTTGTCTATCCAGTACATTGTGTTTCACAGTAAAAACTGAACTCTCAGTTCATGCATATTTTTTATCATGTTTACTGCAATACTGTAAACATTGATTAATATCATGGGACCCATATGAAATGCCACTACAGATGCTGCAAGTGCTCCCAAGAAGCAGAGGAAATTCATGACATTATAAGAAAACATTGAAACAGACTGAGCTCGGGTTGCCTGTCATTTCAAGATAAATGAACCTGGTGAAAGGATCATTCTTGAAAAAAAAAAAGAAAAGGAAATTCATGAAGCCATCACTGTAGTTATGCCAGCAGGTGTGAAAACCTTGCACTTTTTGAAAAATACTCTTTTATCTCTTATTGAAAATGTAGCTTTCATGTGGATTTTTATAAGAAAGGCGTACCTATAGACTCTTCTATGATTCAAGAAAATGCAAAGTCAGTGTACAGTTTAAAGCAAAAGCAAAGTGATGGTCCTAAAGCTGGGG